CGACATGCATACACAGTCCTTCGTGTGCAGGCGGCATATCCGACCCCGATACATGCTAGAGTAGATACGTGCACGTGCCAACAACACATGTTTTGGTTTGAAAGAAGGCCGCTGATTGGTCGCATGCAATCAGCTAAGTGAATAATGGTTCACGATGCAAGTGCAATGAGCAGCAATGGATGCTTTCCAGAAATAGATATATATAAAGTTGGTTGTTGGAGAAAAATGAGCAAATCCACGTCTACGGGGGCTGTTCACCCTGGAAGTGACCTCATTGAATCTGAGCTTGCTGGTTTGTTTATTAAGTGCTCGTTGCATCCGGGTTGTTTTTATTGATTTTAAGAAGAAAAAAAATGGGAATCCATCACTTCTTGTTGAATCCGAGTTCTCGTTGAATCCGAGTTCCTCTGTATATTTGAATATTCAGACAACTAAAAATTTCTAGCTCTAGAAATTGAATTCGATGCAAAAAAAAAACAAACGCTTCTTCCCAGTCCTCGCAGAATGGCAGAATGACAGATGACGCAGAACTCTCGCAAATAACCAAAATAACTTAAGAACGGATACCGTCTGAGAAATAAAGTTCAAGTTTATTATCCCGAGCGTTCTGAGAAATGGTCACTTCGTTATTTTTCATTTGTACTGTCCTTGCCGGTTTTAAGCACGGTCATGAGAAGAAAGCTATAGAAATGATCTTTATTATTATTATTATTATAAAAGCATAGCGTGCTTAACTCACTGACTACTGGGCCCTTTCACCAGTCACAAGCATTGAAGACTGGCGTTTTTGGGAGTATTTCAATGAACCACCACAACTCTCAGAATTACCCTATTGTAATCATATTTTGATATAGTAAAGTTACATTCAAGCTTTATCTAATACAAGAAACTAAAGTTGTCTACTAAGTCTAATAACCTACTTTAATTTGTATGATTTTGTAAAAATTGGCATTAATTTGATTTTCTGAAAAATTTCCAGAGACGTGACAGATAGAATGAAATTCACAACAACAACAAAAATAAAAGTTCTATGTGTTCTATTTTGGTTTGTCTGCATGTGTGAGTGTTTGGCGAAAATACAAAAGCTGGGCTGTGCGTTGATTCAGACCCATACACTGAATGACATGAGACAGATGTAGGACACGACGTTGTAATTTCATTGCGCGACCAACACTACCAGTACTAGTGCTAGATCTAGCTCTAAAACTGCGACTCGGGCCGTGTTCGAGTACATATCCAGGGTCCCAACTATCAGACACATCATATTCTGAGACACTGGAACTAGTAAAGCGAACAGAAGTATTGAAAACAGCGAAATTATGTGATTCTTGTTCATGCGACTTCTTCGACCGTTACTTCGGCGCCACTGTCAAATTACTGTCAGCTGTATAGAAAAAAACATAGCGCGAGTTCCAGTCAGTTCAACCCCAGTTGGGGTGACTGTCCTTCACCTTCAATAAGAACTTAAAAACTATCGGCCCCAGAGTTCGAAACTGAGTCTAAGTAGCTCAGGACTGGCCAAACAAGGGCACGAGACGGTCACGCGACGCTTGTGTGATTTGTGTAGTGAAAAAAAAATTCCAAAATTGATCATGCAGGGCTTGCGAGAACCGTCACGGCGGGGGTTACGCATCTGTTGCGTGAAATGTCTGAAGTGAGTTAACGCTGAAACGTGCTTGATTGCGAAGTAGACATTGTTCATAATCCAGAGATTTTTATGTTGAAATTTCTTGAGTTATTACAGTGTGCTTCTGTCAATTTTACCCGTCATGGTAATTTTTGTTTGTTTCTTTCATTTTTGTGGTCGAATGGGAAAGGAAAACTTAATTTAGACCGCCAGTCATGATACAGCACTCAGCACACAAGGCCTATACGCTGCCTGTGCGTATCACTGCCCGCTGTGCCACATTCATACCACCTCGCGCGTGATATAATATATAATAAATATTAATCAGGATTATCGGAGAGCGAGGGACAAAAGTGAAATTGCAGCCAGCCTCCCTTTCTCGTCTCCCCGACTCTCTTTGTATTTTTTTTGTCTGTATGTAGCTTTGCACTAGGCTAGATCCTATATCCACGTGCGCGGTTGTGTGCAATCTCTCTGCCTTCCTCTCCGCGTGTGTAAATGTGTGTCTCCAACACTTGCGTTCTTTGTGTTTCTCTTAACACACTCACTGTTGCGATGTAGACTGTGTTCGAACTTTGGTAGGTCATCTTGAAAGTATTGACTGTTTTGTAAATGAAGCGTGTTTGAAGCCGAAGTTACCGTGCTTTTAAGGTGTGTAATTTATATTTTAAAAATTCGGTAAGAGCCGTTTGGCGGTTTGAGTCCGAGACGTGCTTTATGCCGGCGTGCTTAAAGCCGGCAGGGACTGTATATCAATGATTTGATGGGGTGTCTGTGTACAGTAATTGCTGTTTGACTTTGCTTTCTTTCGAACAGAAACAGAGATATCATAATGCCCAAATGTCCCTTTACTAGGGCAAGAAGAAGTGGTTGTCAATAGAGTATCAAGGCAGCTGTCTATTGATGTACTCAAATTTCAAACACATATTCATATAGAGTCTATCAGGTTTGGGTTGATTTAAATCGGGTTGATTTGAATCACTTGATTTTTTAAGATTTAAATCAACTTGATTTTTTAAATAAAAATCTGATTTAAATCACTTTTAAAATTTTGTATTTTTATTCAGTTTTTACATATTTCAACATTCAGAATTCCTTTCCTAGGTTTCATAAAACAGATATAAGGTTTAGTGCACTAATATAATCATGCTTAAAAGTCTGCTTTCCCCCCTTTCACTGTAAAATAATACAGTATTCAATTTACTTTTTTTCCCATAATTGAAATCAGAGCTGGGTTGATTTAAATCAGTTGATTTTTTTTATTTTAATCAACTTGATTTTGTGATTTAAATCACTTTTAAAAAAATGTATTCTGTTTTTACATATTTAAACATTCAGAATTCCTTTCCTTGGTTTTATTTAACAGATATAAGGTTTAGTAGACTAATATAATCATGCTTAAAAGTCTGCTTTCCCCCCTGTCACTGTAAAATAATACAGTATTCAATTTTCTTTCTTTTCGTAATTGAAAACCAGGGTTGGGTTGATTTAAATCAGGTCGATTTAAATCAGTTGATTTTTAAAAATTTAAATCAACTTGATTTTAAAAATAAACATCAGTGATTTAAATCACTTTTAAAAAATGTATTGTTTTTACGTCTTTAAACATTCAGAATTCCTTTCCTTGGTTTTATAAAACAGATATAAGGTTTAGTAGACTAATATAATCATGCTTAAAAGTCTGCTTTCCCCCCTGTCACTGTAAGTAGTAAATTAATACAGTATTCAATTTACTTTTTTTTCATAATTGAAATTTTCATTTTCTTTTTAGACAAACACAAGCGCGCACACACACACACACGCACACTGTAATAAAATACAAGTTTATCTATGCATAATTACCCCCTCCTCCCCTTTCCTTTTAGACTGACATTTTCTTCATTTTTGTCTGTAGCCATAATTCACTGATAATAGCAGATTAAGGCTTTCTTTTGCAGTTGCTTATATTAATCTTTAGTTAAAATAAAGACAATGCATTCTGCACTAAAAGAACATACTTTTAGCCACCAAAAATCCCAAACTGTGTCGACATTTTTTTAAAAATAAAAAAAATCCGATTTAAAAATTAAAAAAATAGATTTTTTTAATTTGTATTTAAAAAATCAAAAAAATCACCAATCCTGGAGTCTATATAGAATCTATATATTAATGTTTGACAATTTTTTTTTTTTCATAATGTCAGATAATGATGTGAAAGTATTTTTTTCCAGGCCTTCGATCTGCTTCCCCACTATTCGATGAATTTTGTACATGGTAATAACAGACCTGACACTCATCGCGATTTAATTGGGATATCCCGATTTTTTTTCCTTATATCTCAAACATCCCGATTTTTCTGGTTTCGATCACCTAATGTAGCCCGTTTTTTTGGTGCTGTCTGTTTCGCTGGATTTTTCTAACTTACTCTGCCTGTCGTAGGAAGCACCCGTTACACTTTTTGTGCACAGGAACTCTGAGCATTATTTTTCGAAATTTGATGCCGGATTAGTTGACTTGCCCAAAGTTGTGTTGGATCTTTGCACGCACATGTTATTTCAACAATAATGGAAGTAGCATCGATTTGGCATTTCGACATTCTCAAGATCTACTTTCGCTTTTGTTACCACTCAGAATTCTTTGATGATGGCTTGATAACTGTTTCAATTGCTACATACAAAAATGATCAATATTATTCATAGTTCTGCTGTGCTTTCAAAACAAGCTTTGTCCAAGTTCTGGTTAGTCGGGCCCGTCATCAAGACCCATCTGTCAAACTGTTTCAGTTGTGTGTTCGCATCACGTGACTTCAGCGTGTGAGTTGCCCGTGTTTAAGGGACTGTCTGTTGATGGGGTCAACTTTAAGTTCATGCACGCTGGTTAAAGCGTCTTTCGAGATTTACGGGGGGGCGGGGGGGTTTGACTTGGACTAGGGGTCTTTGATGTGATACTTTAGGATTGAAAAAAAATAGTGATCACACACACACACACACACACACACACACACACACACACACACACACACACACACACACACACACACACACACACACACACACACACGCACACACACACACAGAGTCGCCACAAAGGGCATATACATGAATATATTTATGGATAGCCCTGGAAAATTTAAAAGTAAGCTTGGCTGTCATCTTGGTGATCTGTCGTTGATCCTGATTTTGTTCACCTAATCCCGATTTTTCCCCCCTGAAATCCTGATTTCAGGATTTCATAGAGTGGCAGGTCTGTAGTAATAAATACAATATTTTTTAAAATTTGCAAGATGAGTATTTTTAAAAGTAAAGTCTAAGCAAAAATTTAAATTGACGAGCACTTGCGTTCCACCATGTGACACATTTGCTTTTTTTCTGATGTCTTGTCCATTTGTCTTTAATTGTATTTTTTCCAATGGTTGGACTACTGTTATAGCCCAGCATGTCTGTAGTCTGTGTGAATGCCTGATACTGCTATTAAAGAACTTTTTTGCTATACGTTAAAAGAGACATACAAGACTGGGGGGGGGGGGGTATAATAAGCCTGCTAGAGCAGGAATTACAATGTCCTGTACATAATTTTTATGGAGCCCAAAGCATGTAAAGATCTTAATTGAATTTGATATTTCTTTCACTGTGTTTTCTTCCATTATAAAAAAAATCAGCATCCTAAATTCTTATTCTCTCTACACAGATTTCACAGAAAAATGAGGGAATGAATGTTCATTGCATTTGTCCGTAAAATCACTGCATGAGTAGCAGTAGGCAATGGGAGCTACTTGCTCAGGACAGGGAAGTGCTTTTGTGTCTGGATCTTCTGCATATCCCTTCAAAATCCTGCTTCTTGGTGAGCCTGGAGTAGGTGGGTAAATCTTTTCTGTATTAGAATTTTTCATTTGTATAGCCTATTATATGATTCTAGTCATTTCCCTTTCAGCTGATTGGGTATTGTGCTCAGTACTATTTTTACCGTACTGTTAACCCTATCCGGATGCCCTGGAGTCTTTTTGTATCCCTGGGGCTGTATTCTTTGATTAGAATTCTTCTAGTACGAAGATCTCTTTGATACTTTCAGTATTTCTCAAAAAATCATTTTGACAGATGGCTATGCAAAGCGTACGGATCGAATTAATGAGTAAATTTCCTCTTTGTTAAGTGGTAGCACAGAATTCCCCCTGTCGTATGGATACGATAGTAAAACACGACATACTGATAGGGTTGAACAAAGATACAATATGTACATTTGTCCACTTTGGTCATATCTTTATAGATGTATACAATATATATATATATTTGCGGGGGGTGGGGCATGGATATTTTTCTTTTTAAAAAATGGTAGTAAATATTTATTTACTAATAAGTTAACTTCTCTTCACATTATGATCTGTATAATGGTCCCTACCAGTGTTTGCCATTCAGTCCTATCTTTTGCCAAATTCTTGATGACACATCACATTTTTCCTTTTGATTTCAACTCTTCTACTCCATATATATCCTCATGTCGGTCTCTACCTCTTTTTGCCATCCGGAGTCCCACAGAGGAAAAATCCAGCTGTAGATAATGGTGCTCTAGGCAATAAATCTATGAGCAACCTCATGTATTTCATGTTGGACATATTATCCCATTCCTTAAAAATGAAGCGGTTAATTCATACTTATTGTTAACTGCAGACTTTTAAAGAAAAATGAAAGATTTTGAGCATTTTTCATTCTTTTGCAGTTTTCAGAAAATGAAAGGATTTCTTTTAGTTCCTTTTTTTTTTGTACAGGAAAGACATTCCTGTTAAGGTGCTGGCAGTCTGGTATCCATAACGTGACAGAGCCTCTGACAAGTACAACACATTTCAATGTTGGAATGATTAAAACTGCTAATGGACTCGTTTTCATGGTGTATGATTTAGCAGGAGATATTGGATTGAGACTGAGACCATTTTTGGACGGTACTGAAGGTGAGCAAATAATTTGTTCTGAAAAGTAAAACTTTGTCCACTCTATAATGCTGGTACCGGACTAGTGCCTCATTTGATGAATGAGAAATGGCAGTGGCATTATGCACAGCCTTTTTTAGTCCTCTCATCAGCTTCTTAACCCTAACTCTGACAAGGGCCAATTAGATCTAGATCGGCCCTTTCCTGCCATGAATCTGGCAGGGTTGATGCCAGATAAAATTTTATAAATAATCCAAAGGTAGCGTTAATTGCGACAGAGTGACCCTGTGACAATTATTGCGGCGTTAATTGGGACAGAGTGACTCTGTAACAAAAAAGAAAAACAAACACACACACACATGCACACACACGCACTCACACACCCACACACACAAACACATACAAATACACATACACTATGCACACACACAGACACACATACACTCACACTCACAGACGAACAAATGCACACCGCACACGCTTGTAAATTAAGTGGCCTTATACCCACACACACACACACACACACACACACACACACACACACACACACACACACACACACACACACACACACACGCACCAAACTAACTGACAAACAAAATACAAAGACAGTCGCAGCTCTTTTCTTGTTGTTGTTGCTATTGTTGCCCCTAGTGGTTTTTGTTGCTGTTGTATGCTGTTGAAGTTTTGTTGAAATATTTGTTGCCTCAACTCTATTGTAGCCTACAGAAAGTCTTTGTGGATTTTTACCACACTCTATAAGTCCGCCTTCTCAACCGTTTCAGTTTCAGATGTTTTCTTCATAAAGTATGATAAAGGCAATGAAATTTCCGTCTTTAAATTGAGCAAAAGCTTTGTCAAATTCATCATAAGATTTGAATGCCTGCTCTAGAAAGCCTTCCATCTTGTCAGGCGGAGACCAGCCTAGATAACTAGGACCACGCTGGGAGAAGCGGAAATGGTATAGATAATGTTAGATCTAGATCTAATCATCAGCGCAAAAGAGCTCCGTGTTCACTTTGTAGCAATTAATGCCGCTTTAGTTGTCACAGCGTCACTCTGTCGCAATTAACACTTGATCTAGATATCTACCTAAACTCTCTCTAACCCAAAAGACCGCCAAAAATAATCCAAATTAAAAAAAAAAAATCCAAATTTTGCAAAAAGTAATGTAACTTACCCATTATCTACAGAAATAAGGAAATATCATCCATCTCCTCCTCTTTTTCTTCTGTTAGGCTAAGGTTTCCATCAACATCAGTGTCTAGTTTCAGTTTCAATAGGGGCCTAGTAGATCTATCAAAATGTGCCAAAACTTTGCAGGTCAGACAGGTAGGTGGTCAGAAGGCTAGGCTAATTAGAGGGCCAAATTCCATGTCAATTACAGTCGAAGTTGCCGTAACGGAAACCTGTATAAAACGGAAACCTGTCTTAACGGAATCTCCCCACTCCCCAATTTTGATATATAATATTCCTTTTAATTACCTATATAAAACGGAAACCTGTCCAACGCGGAAATGGAAAGAAAAATCCGCTCCCTTCCGAGGGTTTCACCTCTCTAAGACGGAAAATGCTTTGCCGGCTCAGCCCTGCTTTGAAACAAAACTCGCAAGTTTGGTTCTGCCGGCTCTAAACTTAACGCTATGGCCATGCCTCTGGGCAAGGAAGGGGAGTAGGGGTGCAATTTGGGGGTAGATGTTACCCCATCATGTGAGCCCTGAGCGATGCAGATGGTCAGGGTAGTGTAGGTGTGAAATCTCACGACTGCCCGTGAGAGTGCTCGAGTAGCGAGCCACTACGGAAACTTTCCTGGGTAGTCAGAAGCCAGAGGTGTGAAATTAGGTTGACCAATGCCTGCTGCCCTGATCGTACGGCCAGCCGAGAAAAGAGTTACTCGAATCGTTAGTTACAATGATGGCAGTGAGGGGTGGCATTTGGTGGGTGGGGATGGGTGGAAGCAAAGGAGATGTCCAAACGTTTCTGTTTTTAATTGGTCAAGCAGTGGTCCTGTATGAAAGGCAAGCACTGGTGGTAATTGGATAAGTAAGACTGACGCATGCCATTATCAGACAGTATAGCTAGTGAGAGATGTGAAATTTTGACCACTGCTTGCCGATCGGACGAGTGATTCTGGATCCCATCGGCTGGGCCAATTGAACCCCCCCACCTCCATCTCCCCCTAAATTCCCCTGTCTAAGATGGAATTTTTTTTGGGCTCCCTTACTACATATAGGACTAAATAGGCCATTAGGTATACATTTAGAAAGGCAATAAAATAAACAACGAAGAGAATGTTTCACTGCATGAAAAAAAAATAGATTAATAATTTTTGTTAAGTTCTTGAAGTCAAAATAATCCAAAAATAATCAAAAAATCCCAAACTAAAATGATAATCCAAAGACCTAAAAAATAATCCAAAAACGGGCGGTTTGTATTAAAATAATCCAATCTGGCAACCCTGGCCAATCTCATAGGACCATATAGTAAACTGCTGCTTCTGCCTTCCAACTAAATATTTGGGGCTTCCTAAAGTGATTTCTGATTGGCTAAAAGGCTAACCTTCAACCAATCAGATTGTACCATTCTAGCTTAAGGGAAGAGTAGGCTAGGTCTATAATTTTTGAAAGCTTGTTGGTCAGACAGAACACAAGCCAGTGTAAATCTATCAGTCACTTGTGCTACTCATGTGGGTCTAAAATGGCCACAAATTGATCTTTGTAGGATAGGCCTACATTTGAAAGTGAATTGACTAGGGAGACCACTGTTAGTGTTGGATTTATTGGTGATCAGTCAAGAATTGGGATTAGATTCTAGAATCTAGATGATCTAGATCTAGATCTAGAATCTAGATCTCACAGACGATGGTGATACCAGTTCTTATCCTGACCCCCAACTTCTCTTTCAAATGGAACACTAGAATCTACTTTTGGGAGTCTAAGAGGGCAGAAAAAGGAGAGCTATAGAGTAAAGTAGGTTCCTTTTGCAATACTACTTATTACAGACTACCAGCAGATTGCTGAAAACCATATATATATATATGGTTGTACTTAAAGTGTTTTTATGTTGAGCATAGTGTGAAATACTACTTTACAGAGTATCAGTTATGCTCGAAACAGACTCATATGTTCAAAGACAAAATAGAGTTCATTCAATTACCTTTCAGAAAATACTTTTGTAGGGTTATTATTTGATACAAGTTCATAAATTTGATTTGTAAAGCATGTGCACGCTTTGGCTGATTAGCCTTGCCATTCCTGTTGAAACCACTTGTAAAAGTTAGGGTTAATCTGGTGAGCTTTGATGTCATGAAAACAGTTTCAATAAAATTGTGGGCGTTTTGAACCAAACACTAAGCTTCTGCATGATGCAGGTTGTAGTAAACTAATGAAATGGGATTGGCCGTGTGACCCTTCTTAAAGTAAAGAGGGCAAAGGATGCCCTTTCAAATTATAGGCAGCGCCAATTGCCATCGAGTGAAGTGGTGTCAATGGCCACCGAGTGAAGCGGTGTCAAGTCTGAAAATAACGCTCTGTCTTTAGCTTTCTATTCATAATGTGTTTCGAACACATGAATAAGTTATAGATCTAATCCCCTCTCATAAGTCGATAAACGAGTAGTTATACACACATTCCGGGGTTTGAAAGGAAATAGGTCAATTTCTGAATGTCTTGCACTCAAATTCTTCTTTTTACCAGCACAATGGTATTCAAAACTATCTATAAACTTATTTTTATCAGGTAATATCATTTTGCATAAATTCTAGCTTATTTGAAATATTTTGTACAGTAAAATGAGCTCCTCATGTCTAAGTGGGTCAATTTGTTCTCTACTAGTTTCATTGGATGAACATCTAGAGCTACCAACTTGGCATGTTTTGAATGAGACTTAGGCTAGCCTTAGCCTACGCTTTGGTGTAGAACCAACACAGGCAATTCTAGAAGTAGGCCACAAACGCACACAAACTCAAGCATAAATTCATATATCGGGGAACATAAATCCGGGAGACGGGGGTTAGGGAAAGAGAGAAAACCATACACACACCCACCCACACATGCACAGAGGGACAGAGGCGTGCGTTAGGGAAAGTCCATGAACGCAGAACACAGAGCATGCATGTGCTAGATCTACTCACCAATGCAAAAGAGCTCCAATTTCAATTTTCTCGGTGGCTGGCGTCAATTGTCACTGCGTCTCTTGGTGGCAATTGACACTACCTTTTAAATAAACTTCCCCTCAAGTGTGTATCTCGTCTGTTGCAGGTGAAAATAAAAAAATGCAGCCATTGTGCTACAGACATTTTTGTTAACTTTTCTCCCTGTCAGGATATAGGACACTTGAAAAGAAAAAAAATTTCTAAGTTCCTTTTTGGTGTGCACATTCTAAAAAAGCCTACATGTTTGAAATGAAGGCGACCACATGGGAGCCCCCATCAAAAATAACATTGGTTGCATTATATATATTAAGACTTGAGTGCTCATATATTGGAAGAAAGAGGTTCTCTCTTTTACTCTTGTTTTGAGAATAAAACATTTCCTCCTCATTATTTTTCTTTGGCAGGTGTTATCTACATGTTCAAAGCTGCAGGTGTCATTCGTGATGATGACGAAAGAACCCTTGAGCAGTTACTTCGAGAAAGGGATCTGGAAAATGCTCCAATTCTATTTGTTTCGAGAACAAGTAAGAAAATTATTGTTTCTTCCAATTTTCAGTGGTCACATTCTGTGAAATTTAATTATTTTTGACAGACAAAGCTTAGATTGTAATTCAGGTTGATGTAATATTGTTCTGTTTGTGAGTACAAACAGATTTAGAGAGAGTGAAGAAAGGTTCGCTTGAAAGGGTTCTTTGTTAAATTCTTTTTGGCCTTAAGTACACTGTAATCGAAAAGTGACTACTGATCAAAAGAAAGGTACTGTCTTTTAAAAAAAAAAAAATAGTAGAGGGTTTTACGGTGCTCGCAACTGCATAAGGTCATATGAGTGCCATGGTACTGTCTAAATCCCGATACGTTAGGTAACAGTTATAACAGAGGTGTTTATGTAATGTACATTATTCCACAGTAGATGACACCTAACACAGAATATTTGTAACATATAGATTTAATTCCACAAAACTACAGCAATAATTAATTTAGGAGGAAGCCTTTTAGTATATAAGACCTTTGGGTGCTTTTTACATCCTTCAAAACAGCTTGTGTAAACAAAGTAAAGTACTGTGTAGTCCTGGTTTCTTTTTGGATGCCAAAAATTTTGTGAGTAATTGAGAGTAATGAGAGATGCGACATCAGCAAGTCATCGCCAATTTGTTTTATTAAATTTTGTGGTTTTATTTTTAATTATGCTATTTCTGTGTACCTGTGATTTAAATTTGCTGTTTATCATGCTTGTACTTGTACTGAATTTAAGACTACTGTAATTTAAACCTCAAAGGCATGCATATGTAGATAATATTCTTTTTGCTTTGTTGTAGAACATATATATGTAGGGCCTACTGGTGATGAAAAAAGACTTAAATTTCTCTTGATATGAAAGGAAAATGCCCTTATCGTCTATTGTTAACATAGATTGTTTGTCATTAGATCACTTTTTTCACTGCCATGATACAAAACAATAAGGAATAATGAAGATTCAGAAGAAATGAATGTCCTCAATGAAATATTTCTAGCAGTTTCCGTCAGTGATCAATAACTGGAACTGGTATAGGTTTAACGCCCCTATCAACACTTACTATTAAGTTATTTAAGAGACGGGACCTCCGAGTTTAACGTTCATCTCCGAAAGGACAGAGCTAAGTGGGAAATTGGTGTAAAGTACCTTTCCCAAGGACACAGCATCAGACCGAGCTGAGGCTCGAACCCCCGAACCCGCAATCTCACGATTAAGAGTTCGGTAGCCTTACCACTAGGCCTCAGTGAACAATGACACGTGGTGATGCAAATAATACATAAATAATACTCTGTCTTACTGAAGAGCTGGTTGGAGACTGTCAGGTATCTTTAGTGTGGCAATAAAAAAAAAAAAGTTATGTAGGGGCATACTTCTTGCAAACCTGAAAAAAATATTCAAAAGTGTAATATTGAAGGCTGTTCTTGATATTTCTGCCTCATTGAATTGTATCCAGACTTTGTATTTGATCCTCAGCTGAAAATGTTCCCTCTGAAAGTGTTCTTTCTGAAAAACTCCTGAGCAAGTTAGATGGTAGACGCTGGGACATGACAGTGCTGGAAGACAGCAGCCAGGAATCTGCCAACCTTGTCCTTTCCATGTTGGAAAAATTACTGAGGCATAATAATCAAAATCAAACAGAGGACAGATAGCACTTGTTTCTAGCTGTATTTTCTACTGTTGCTGTGAGTGTTTGAAAACCCTGTTGTAACCTCAAATTTGTACATAACAAAAAGGTTTCTGCATCTCGCCGATTTCGCTATGTGTGTGCTAGGCTGATGGGAAGGCAGTTCGCAGGTTCGGCTTTCTTGTTTTGACTCTCAGATTTAACTCTTCAAACCCTGAGTTTTTTCCACCGTTTCTCAGAATTTTTTCTACAGTCACCTAAACCTGGTGCACTATGATGGTGACTATGTCTCATTATAACCCCAGAAGCTTAATTGCCTCCAACTTCTAAAATGCGGAAGCAAAGGTTTAGTCATTACTAAAAAAATTGGATCGGGAATAGTTCTGAAAAACAAGCATAAGCTAGCGCTAAATGAAACGAAACAGTAATTGTCACTAGTATCGGACAAGGTTTAAAGAGTTAAGTTTACCTCTGAGTTTTGTCACTGACTTTTCAAGCGACAAATTCGATATTTTTACTTGCTTTCACAAAGGTATTATTTTGTGAATGGTAATATCCATCCATTATACATTTTCTTAAGAGCTTTAAATGTTTGCTTTGACATTTTTACACAAGATTTTAAACATTTACAAACTGGTATAAGATTTACTGTGTTATCTATAGATTATAAACATTGTTTGATTCTATAAGCATGTAGTAAACGTTTTTGCATATTTTACGTTTAATATATTTCTATTACATGTTATTATTGCCACATACTCTCAAATTTATGGTCTGATTTGTGATACACATATTTCTGGGATAATTATCAATTTGATTTATATATCCAAAGTGCTTTGAATCTGTTTGAATTGGGTCAAAGAAAAGACACTGACAATGGCATATGAAGATGCTGCATAGGCTTACTTAATATAATGAAGATGTGTGAATAATTAGCTCTCTATCTAAAAAATTGCATACTACAGACAGACCTCATAGTACCAACTACCTACGTGAACTTGACAATACAGGGGGGGGGGCGGCCGTATAATGGGATAGCACGGACAGCCATGATACTGACTTATGGTAGACTGGAATTTATGAGACAATCTGTGGCCAGTCTCACCTAGTCTAGATCTGTCTTACACGACTGCCGTGCGCAGAGGAAAAATAAGTACCTGTAGCCACCAAATACATTAGGCTGTTGAAGGTAGAGAGGTGAGCAGAATAAGTCTGATTCCTTGTAAGGACTTCTCTGTTGACACCCACCCCTTGGCGCTCATATGACCTTAAGCTGTTGTGAGCGCCGTAAAACCCTCTACAAAAAAAAAATACAGTAGGCTACAGCTCCAGCTGAACTTCAGATAAATTTCTGTTTATGAGGAGCTAGGCTTTTATAGCTACTCTTTGTGTCAAGGACCCACTGTAGATGTACAGTTTTGGTTTTTTTACCCAATACTTGTCAGTCCTTGTGCTGCCTCAGACCTGTAATGTTACTGTATACATGAGCCTCTGGGTGCCCACCTGCCTTTTGGTCACAGTGATGTATATGATATATTTCACAACACTAGATATTTTGCTGACAGGCTGAGGTCACACAGTTCCTTTGAAGCCTCTCCAGGCAACTCTAAAATTTCATCCCTATTTTTTAAATATTGGCCAAACCGTCAAAATAATTGCGTTTTCATAATCAGCATAAATCAGGAGCAGTTTGGTGACAAGCGCTAGAAATAAGTCGAACTTACAGAGATGTGTGTGGAAAAGAGATAATCGTCAAGCAGTTACCAAGCGGATGCCGTTTGCCTTGTGCATTGTGCACCTTTTGTGGCCAATTTGCTTGCGGTATAGAGGGGCAATTTTACATTAGATCATAGAACTTACAACGTTGGCAGGTGACAGTGTAAAGGCGCAAATATGGCCTACTATGTTTATAGAACCTATAGAGGCGTTTCTTTTCGTACACTGGTAAAACTTAACGGAAATTGGAGCTGGCGGTATTATGAGGTTTCACTGTAGTTATTTTTTTGTTTAAAGTTGCTTTACAAAAATAAATTTACCCGTTTCTAAATATCACTGGTCATTTTGATTTGTATAACCTGAATACAGTGTGCAAAATCATTATGGCGACTGAAACAAAAAGTAAATCCATTTGCTTATAGGCTTACCATCTCTTTTTGTCAAAATGTCTTGAGAAATAAAGACAGGAGACCGTCACTGGTTTTATAAGTATCCAGAACATCTTTTGCTTACCATTATTCTGATCACCACTTCATTTTGAGATAATTTGAGTTCCCTTCTCCGTCCCTTAGTTTGATGCTATACGACACTGCCACCTTTAGATCTTACGACTCGGAGTTTTTTTTACCTTTTCTTTACACACTGAATGTAGAAATTCTGTTTACTGTAAAGGTATTTACTTGTAAAAGGTGCAGCTTTAGGTGCCCTCTAAGAATAATTTACAATTCTGTTGCAGTTTTTTAAAATACGAAAGTCCGCCAAAATCTCTGTGTGTTCATCGATATTTCCTGCTCTTTGCATACTCCTTTTGGTTTTTGCCCAGTCCAAACTTTTGTGTGCTGTCTGATCTCAGTAACGTCTCATCTCTCTTTGATTGTGACTTAACTTTCCAGCGTATTGTACTTGTACCTTCTGTGATGTCATTGTTATATTCCATCTTATGTTCGTCATTTTGTTTTATTATAGTGTTATATATGGAAAAATAAATATAAATGATAAATTTTTCTTTTTTTTAGCTTTTCTGTTTCTCAAGATAAATTATGCAGCTCTACTTCGGAACAACTGCAGTCTGTTAATAATTTCCAAACTTAAACTAGCAAAAAGAGAATTACAGTAATCAATTCTTGAAAAAAGAACGGAATCTGAAGATAATTTTTATTTCAAAGTGAGAAATTTGACATGTTCTCCTTAATTCAAAATTGTCAATACGTTTGTTTGATTGATTTAATGTTCCATTGACAATTTATGGTCAGAGTAAATATCTAGTTTTTTTCGGCCTTCTCACTCTCACTAAAAGTAAAAGTAACATCTTTCAGAATGGATCCAGATGATATCAATTATCAATGCTACTGATTTCAAATTTAGTAATAATTCTGCCTCTTCCTTGTTCATCTTTAGTTTGCTGTCAACCATCCACTTTTGAACATTTGTCTCTTGTGTGAAAGCACAGGAACACTTTTCATTTTGTCACCATTTATTCAAGCAATTCAATAAGGTCTACTTTTACTGTTTGGTTGAATAAGCTGTAATTGAGTAGTAGTACCTGCTAAGTCAGAACATTGACTGGAGTGACATTATATCAAGTATAAAGATTATGACGATAGAAAAGCTGTAATGAAGTAAGGGCTGAGCCTACTGTGGTAGGCTTGCCCTCTAATTGTTAATTAAAATGATGTTAAGAAGTAGTCAGGATATAGCACAATGCAAACCACAATGCCAGTGCCTCTGGCGGTATCACAGTACTTATTTACATAAGTTTAATAAGGACTGTACAACTCCGGCAGTTGGCAGATAGTTGAGATAGAGGATGGTGGTTCAAGGGGGCAAGTCCGTCATAGTACATGTATTACCAGTATATTTAGTAATAGGCATTCCTTTTCCTACATTGGCAAAAACTGGTGGTAAGCAGAGCTTTAAGTATAACAGGGTTTGACTGTGTTTTATATATATGATGTGTGTGTGTGTGTGTTGGTGTGTGTGTGTGTCTGCGTGCAAGTGCAAGTGAATTTAATATGTATAAATGTTGGTGAAGGTCTATATTCTTAAGTTTGCAAGGTTTTTTTTCCCATTTCTGTAAATTACACAGCATTCCTCAAGGGTAAAGGTTTATACCCTGAGCCCCGCTTCTTGCTCCATTAATTTTATACAACTATAACTTTATACATTCATATATAAGTACAAGTATTATTCTAGTACAGCTTTCATCTCATTAAAGGGGTGAGCAAAGGAAGAGAACAGGAAGGACATGAATGTGAGAGTTCATTGTGAAATGTGCACAATGGGAAGAAGGAAGACAAAGACTATTGTTTCTCCTCATCAATCAATTGTTTTTTTCTACAGCATGTCATAGTAATGTAGCTTAGTCTGTCTTTGTGCCAATCTGGTTAGTCCATAAAAATAAGAATTTTTGACAGCGGTTATTAGATCTATGTAATAATTGTACATTAGGGAGTTTGCGAAGCAGTTTCAACACTGCGAAAGTTTACAGTATTGCAGTAATTATAGTTTGTTGACAATGATCCATGTCCAAATTTCTTAAATAGAGTGTATGCCTTACAGTAGAGAAAACAATTTATTATGGTCATTAATTCTTTGAACTTTTCAATAACACAAAAAATTGCCCCAGGCACTTCAGAGGACAAGTTGGGAACACAATGAGCTACAATGTGGTATACATTTTGCCTCTGTCTTGCCCAGGTTCTGAAACTACGGGCAAGGATGAAAAATGATTACATTTTGTCCACATTAGTATTATCATAATCATAATTAATGGTCATGCAGTGCTGGCAACCCAACCATCCTCCCCGTTCTGCCTTGCTTTTTTTTTCTTGGCTGTGTTCACACATCACATCATGTATGTAAGTCTATCATCATCTATATAGCCTCAGAATTCTGCCGTGTCATATATTTATTTATAGTTGGAGAATAAAATGCCCCCCAAACTGTCCTGTCAAATGATGTCAAACATGTTGTATAACGTTAATATTATTATGTTGATGCTTTGTGGACAGACAAATATTTTTATATAGATAGGCCTACACATATACGCAAATCTGTGACCTTAACTTTCAGGGGTCTTTCCAATTGCAGCCTTATAAAACAGTAAACTCCTCATTGTGTAATATGTCATGCTGCAGTTCATTCTTATTTGTTGTAGTACAGTATAAATTTGTTTTGCAGGTTTTTTTTGTAAATACAAAAATCGATTTCAGTGACGAGTTTCGATGTTCAGTCTCAGTCTTGTCTTTTTTAAACAGCATATTTGTACTTGTAGACGGATATATTGCAATTGGATTTATTGTTGCTCAAGTCCTTAGATATGCCAGTATTGTCAGGTAAAATGTATGTGTTTTTGTAAAGGTTGTGTGCACCATCTTTGTCGCAGCAGATGATATAATTCATAAACTTTGACTCTGAGGAACTTTTGTTGCTCTGGTTCAAATGCATTCTGGAATCTGATGTCTCTATCTTCTTATGACAGCATAAACAAATTACAACAATGTATTGCTGTTTTGAGTTTGAATTTGTTGTAAATGCATGTCCATGCAAATTATAGAGCTTGGGTGTTGTTTCAGTTAGTGAGTTAAACAGACTGGACACAGTGGAACTCGGATTCAACGAAGTCGTCAGTCCTGGCCTTCGATTTCGTTGAATCCAAGTGTTCACTATGGCAAATATGAGGTTTTTGTGTAGATAATTAGAGGCATCGAGCAAGTAATTGTGTATATGTAAAATGTATTTGACTTTGTCAATCAAAAGTAGTTTGGTGTCAAATTAGAGGCCTTTTCATTTTTTTTTTATTCCAAAGAAAGAATTGCTGGAAAATTCCATGGACATTCACTGAACCCTACCAAGCACACAATGTGCAAAAGGGCCGATTTGTTAAAATGCACATCTGTGTCATTTATCATCTATAAAACGCATTATTTGCCAAACAAGTTATGTTGCTGTGTAGAACCTAGCATATGGCAACATTTGATTCCACAGTGCTGAGCGCAATTCATTACGTAGATCTATGTCAAGATTAGCTTATCATTGTAATATTGATCAGTAACCGGGGGGAAAGAATCACTGTGTCGCGATTGTATCTCTACTGACATTCCGCGTCCAGACGGTTTGGGTGCGTGATAACAACGCATATGTTGGTGTGAAAGTGAAAGGAGGCTGCCGATTAGTTGCGTAGAGAAGTTCCCCCTGCAAGTGACTTTGTTGAATCCAGGCTTGCTCATTTATGTTTTCGTTGAATCCGAGTTATTTTTATTGATTTTTATGAAGGGAGTGCTTATTTGGGCCACATATGGCCTAAATAAGGTAAGGGAGGGGGGTTTAGCTTATTTAGGCCACAGGTG